CACTGAGTGTAAGACAATCAGTGATTGAACAACACCATGTGAAAACGGTTGTGTTTAAACCTAAAGGCAATAAATACAATGTAAGAAACTGGATCAAGTGTCAATGCACTGTCTTCATTTGTTTCTGCAGAGCACGGAGCTTCTGGCTATCAGGATACAATAGGAAGCTGACAACACAAGGAAAACATTGGGAGTGCTGGGAAATGCACATACTGTAGTGCCGTCAGCCAGCAACAGTAATTACAGACTGGATTGAAGAAAACCAGGAAGGAACCCTCTGTAGACCTGATAAGCAGGCAGCTTGCCTCTGAAAACATTGCACTCATGTGGACTTCAGCCTGTGGGCTCTGCCCTCCACCAGGCCCCAAAGCTCCACAGTATTATCTCAGCTCTCAGAAATCTGGCTGCGTGTTCAGGCAGCATTGCCAAAACAAAGGAAGATTTGTCATGAGATAGGTAGAAAGACTGACAGATCACAGTATACATCAGTCAACTTCAGAGGGGGAAAGGTCTAAATTCACTCAAACGGGAGCAGACTTGTGAAGCTTCGGGGCTGCTTTTTGGATGCCCATTTGACCTGCAAGGCGTGTTCTCCACATGGCTCTATCAGAAAATAATTTATCAAGAGTCGCACTGACACCAACAATTTACAGGAGCAATTATTACATCTACCTACACGTTATTAGAAGTCCCTACAGTCTCCTTAATAAACCAATAAACGGACTCACGACAACCTAACATTACACATCAGTGAACTTGGACCACTCACACCACAGAGAGGCACATTAAAGGTTTGTACAGCCGTGTATCACTGCCTGGCAGGAACAGCAGCTTCTGTACGCCAGCAATCATGAAAGCTAGTCTTGGAATAGACAAGTGTCATGTTGCAAAAGAAAACAGCACATGATACGAAAGGACATCGTCACAAGCAAAAACATGTAAACAAGAGACTCTGTAAACTAGATTAGCGCCAGAAAAACCCACAAAATTGCACAAAGTTCAACCCAATAAGAGTCAGAGTTTGGTACCATCAGGCTAACGCTTCAGGTGATGCACCGCACCGCAGTAAAATTACTACAGCTGTGTCGGTCCTTCAGTGGCTCCAGCTTAACTGTGTTTATATGCGATATGTGCCAATGTTGCAATGTAGAAATGGGGAAGCAGAAATGTGTTTGTTTGCTGTCCTATTTTAAGCTGACCTGAAGTGGCAGAGATGACTCCTACGAGTCAAATGGGAACTTTAACCATGGCGCAGATGATTAAGCAGCAGACCACACGGAACGACGGGCCGCACCTATCTCCCAGAGCTCCTGTCTCTTTTAGTGTAGCTGATGCCTGGACACATGTGCCTGTTTTTTATGCTGTGGAACAAGGAAGGAAACATATTGCAGAGAGGAAGGAGAAAGTTTACAACACCTCCCTGGCAATAATGACTACAAGCTTCCACTTGTAGTGTTTCAGGCTGTGTGAAACTCATTGTTTTTACTGTACCTCACATATTTTTAACAATTCAGTTCACAAAGACATTCAGTGATTTTAATACTCGACAAGCTCACAAGTAGATGTCTTGATGACTGTAACCATCTAACCTAATCCTAACCAAGCAACAAACACTGTTTCAGAGGCAGAACTGGGTCGAAACACCATGAACTGTGAAATGTATTAGCACAATCACGACCTTCACAATCATTAATATGACTCAAAAGTCCCACAGTTTCACCAATCATTAATACTAAAAAAGGAACGAAATGATTTTTAAAAAAAGGAATGGAGGAAAGCCATCCACTGTGGCAACTCGTTAAGGGAGCAGGGGGCAAATTTCCCTTCAACTCAACCTGACTTCATATTTTTCACCTGGATACCTGCACACCACCTGCAAGATAAGCCCCTGTTGCACAGATCTAGAAACTGCTCACCAACCCTGTTCCACCCCAAAGATCCTTGCGGCCTCTATCAAAGCTTGACCATGACCCTGATCAGGTGACCCTGAATCCTCCCTTAGTTCGCTGCAATAGGCCTAGGCTGCCAGGGGCTTCCCATAATGCACTAAATGTTTCGTGTTCACTCACCTTCTTCACCCACTATGTGCTTCACACCACTTTTTATTTAATCATTAGTTATTAATCTCTCTTCCAGAGCAGGTTTTTTGTGCTGTCTTCCTTCCCTCAGCCCAACCTGTCATCGCAGATAGCTGGCCCTCGGTGAGCCTGGCTTTTCCTGTTAAAGGGAATTTTTCTTCCCACAGTCTAGCATTCACACACTTACACTCCAGTAGATACATCTTGCCCAAGAATACTTTGGCAGGTGGAGCGGAGGAATCAAGGATTGAACCACCAGCCTTCTGATCACCGAGCATGAGCCACAGCTCAGGCCAGTGGATTTAAACCCAGGCTCTTCTTATTGTGAGGTGATTACTAGCGCTTACTAGTGTTGACCATCACACAACCATGCCACCCACTGTGCGTATATAAATTGACCTGTTTTGTCAGGCAAAGGTCTTAAAACCCTGATAACTATCCTGAAACTAAAGATAGACTTTGGTCTATTAAATAACGTTTCTTTTAGATCCTTCATAAGGACCATAAAACTGTAGTTCCTCAGTTGGCACCATGAGTCAAGGGGGCTGTGCAGCTTTCTGCACTCACTGAACCTCCAGGGACTGTTGTTAGGTTAAACTCCAGTAAAGCTGGTAATTGCAAACTAAAAATGAAATGCTGCCATGAGAATTTGCAATGTAAGCTACTGAACCCTGTCACACTCATTTTTTCAACAGTAAAGTGGCAGTTTACAAATGGGGACGTTTGTATGCTTCCGTTTCACCAGTCAGTTTATCGCACTGGTTCCTCATGTGTTACAATGGTTCAAGAATCTGACGTACAGCCCCTATTGCTGCTTGATGTTTGTGTATTCTTTCAGATGTACAGTACACTTCAGTGCTAAAAGGAGACAACCAGGAATCACAGATGAATCTGTCATAGCTCACCATGTTTGGCGCACGAGCGTCAAAGCCACTGAGACAAGAATATACAGTTTACTGTGACTTCCAACGCATTTTACATCATAATGCATGAAGCCAAAAAAAGGGTAAATGAAAGGGGAATTCGAGCGAGAGGAGAATTCTGCGGTCGCACTTCGATGTTGATGCAGAAAGAGGTTGTTTACTATAAAATATAAAGTCCAGCAGGGATTAAAACAAACAAAAAAAAAAACACTCTTTCCATGCTGGAGAATAATCTTTCATTCTGTCTGTGAAGGTTCTCAGTCATCCAGGTCATCGTAGTCAAAGGAGCTTGCAAAGAAAAGCATCTGGACTTCTTTAAGTTACTTTTAGACGTTTCACCTCTCATCCGAGAAGCTTCTTCAGTTCTAAGGTCAAATGGTGGAGAGTCCCAGATATAAACCTAGTGGGAGTAACCCCCCACAGAGGGACAAAAGGACCCCCTGATGATCCTCTAATCGCCTGAGCCAAGGTGTGAAACTGGGTGTGGGTCCCAATCAGCCAGAGTTTCAGGTGAGTTCATTGTGAAACCAGGCCCCACCTTATCATGCGAATTCCTGAGGTCAGATGGCCCAGGATGTGAGTGGGCATTAAGGCGTCTGGGGAGAGATCTCAAAACTGGATTATAGATGGCAGAGAGTTGGTGTCGTAAACCCCCGCCTCTGTTCAAAGATGGTCGCTCACAGTGGACATAGATGGCTTCTTTCACTCCTCTTTCAAACCATCTGTCCTCTCTGTCCAAAATGTGAACATTGGCATCCTCGAAAGAGTGTCCTTTATCCTTAAGATGCAGATGGACTGCTGAGTCTTGTCCTGTGGAGGTGGCTCTTCTGTGTTGTGCCATGCGCTTGTGAAGTGGCTGTTTGGTCTCTCCAATGTAGAGGTTTGGGCATTCCTCGCTGCACTGTACAGCACTGTACAGCAATCTTTCATTCTCACAGTTCGATGGGCAAACCTAAGCTGTATCTAAACTTCACATTCTTAAACTACACAGGAAATGATTGCTCACACAGCACTGGGAAGGAGCGCTACCGCTATTTGTATGACTCTTTAGAGCTTCCAGAAAACTGTGTCTCATGAATCATCTCCCAAGCCATATGAAACATAGCAGCCGGCGAGCTCGTGCAGTATGTTGAAACACATGGAAGAAGGATAAACAAATTAGTCTAGGCTGAAGGGCTTTTTCCTGCTTCATCAGGAAGACCTGCTAGATCCTAGGTCCAGCTGTGTATTAACTTGTAGTTACACTGCAAAACATTAACAGGTGGCTTCTGCCTCTCATTGAGCTTCTTTTTAGTAGCCGGCCTGTAAAGGCTGCCAACACCACACCTTTCTTTATAATGCAACGTATGTCGGTGTGCAGCTCAAAATAAATAAAGCCTGAGGTGGTATTTAGAGTCTAGAAGCCACTGAGTAGGTGGTTATGAGAGGAAGAGTTAACTAACCAGCAGCTTTACCTTTTTGAACTTCGATGCATAGAAAAGATCTCATTCCGGGTTTTAAATAAAGGTCCCTGGAGTCATGTTTGACAGGCTGGCACACTACACACGATTTATGGCTTACAGCAGCACAACAGCACCAAAAACAAACAAAACTAAACTAAAGTAGGCTGGGCGAAGTGCAGATAACCTTTTTTGTTATCAGAGAATAGGAACGAGCCTCTGTCAGATGTCTGACTGCTCTCAGGCAGCCTTCAACCGGGAAGCGATATGACCACGCTTCAGTTTTCGGCACCAGTTCAGAAAGCTCCAACGACATGAGAAACAGTGATCGTGGATAAATCAGTAAACAAACGAAACAGCATACAAAGTAATGACTGGAGTGAATCCTGGATTTCTCGCTAACAGCGTGCCTGTCATTCATTCCCGGTGTAATAACTGCTAACTTTGATCGCGTTGCTTAACAGGATCAAAAACTTCTATCAGGTGTCTCACGGTCACACCTCCCACAGCTGGCACTAATGACATCAGAAACGTACACAGCGTGAAAGAGCAGAACTTACCTTGTGCGCCTTTCTGCCTGAGTCTTCGGTTAATCGAGCTGCGGGACTGCTGTGGAAAGTAAAGTGCGTCCTAAGTCAGACTGACAGGCAGTAGTTTCTGTGCAGCTGCGTCCAGCGATTAAGGGGCGGTGCTCTAACGTGGGACACATCCCACGTGGGCACAGCGCCTGTGGCTGCTGTTTAATCCACACTTTCTCAGGGAAGGGCACCGCTCCGCCGACCACCTGCTGTCTGCGCAGAAAGCAGGTGAGAGCTGCCCGCACAGCACACTGGATCCACCCCTGAATATTAAAGGATTACCAACGTAAATAAATACTTCAAATCAAAAATGCTTTTATTTAAAAAGATGATTAAGTCATTATTACTGAGGAAGATCCAAATACACTAACTAAACACATCTAACTAAACCTGTAAATATCAAAAAAGTTATTCGGGTAGAAGACGAGACTACGAGGCGCCAGAAACTCCACTTAGTCAACACTGTGGGTCATGTTTTGCAGCTTGTCAGCAGGAAATGTACAAAACCACAGCACCGTGGACAAAACCTGTGAGCAAACCATTTGAAAAAAAGCTTAAAATAGGCGGCAAGGACGGATATAGGTTTATTTTTAAAGTGCGTTGCGCCATCTTGTGGCCTGTTTTTGAAATAGAAAGAAAACTACCACGTCTCACGCTTCTGTTTGAGCGGGTTTCCACTGGTACGCTGGACCGGTGAACACCGGGGTTGGTTGACAGGTTGCTTGTTACTGCCACATCAGTGTGCAGTGTGGATTTCTGTCACACATATATCACACATTTGACCTGACAATAAGCCCATTTTGCAGTTCTGTTTGTGGAAAACTTTGAGATGAAGACATATTTTGTCAGTTTCTTGGATCAGAGTGATTTTTTTGTGCGTGTTGTTGTTGTTGTATTTGTTTTAATAGCTCTTAAACAAAATTAGTCATTTCAGGGGAGACTTTTTTGAAAGAAAAATGAAGACAAGACTAAATTATTTATTTTATTGTGTGACTCCTTTTTTATATATTCATTTATTTTTGCAGGACGTTTTGTGGCGAGCCCAAGAAAGCAATGTCTATCAAAACTGGTCTTTTTTAAATTTTATTTTAATGCTTGCCTTTTTTTTTTTTTAAAGAACTTTATTGGACAAACAGTGAGTATACAACATACGAACAGATGAAGTATACAAAAGAACAGAACATGAACACACAAAACCAGGGGTAAAAAAAAATAATTATATGGATACACACAAAAATTCACATATATATGATGTTTTAAGAGCTTTTTTGTTGGTGGAGTCTGATACTGATTGGATGTACAATTCCACATCCTCAAGAAAATGACAGAAATATGGTGTTTTATAAGTAAACTTACATTTATGGATAAAAAATTTAGCTAAAAGTATTAACAAATTTATTACTGCCAAAACTGATGTCACAACGATCGTACCCCTGGAAATCGAGGGGTTTACGTTTGTCATGACTGACTTGTGTGACTCTTACATCAAGACTACCAACATTCAAATATCCAAAGCGGGTGTTTAAATGTTGGTAGTCTTAAACAAAACCTTTGTTATTGGATAATTGCTTGGCAAAGTGTCAAATTTTATTTAGACTTTTTACTTGCCTAAAAGCTATAATCCTACTGAAGAAGCCGAATAGTGCACATAATTAATCATCAAAATGCAGTCAAGCAAAAAAAAGAAAGAATACTAATTAAATTAGTAATGCTACCCAGTCATATGGAAAGATTTAGGGCCAATGTGTGACACATCTTTATTTTATTTTTTTACATTTTAATGTACATAATGATTATTTTATTAGATTTGTATTTTTAATTTTTGTTTTTACATTGATTCCACGAAATACAAACACAAATTAAATATATGCTGACTTTCTAGATGGAAGTAAATGTAAATTATATAATCTATAAAATGATGTAAAAGTATTTTTTTATTGCTTACAAGTACATCCATCCATCCATCTGCTTATCCCGAGCCGGTTTGCGGGGAAACAGCCTAAGCAGAGAAGCCCAGACCTCCCTCTCCCCACCCACCTCCTGGATGGCCGAACTCATCAACCTTCAGAGAAAGCTCATTTCCGCCGCTTATTTCCGTGATCTCATTCTTTTCGTCACTATCCACAGATCATGACCACAGGTGAGGTTAAGGATGTAGACCGACCGGTACATTGCAGTGATGCAGACGCTGTATCACTGCAGCCTTCTCCCGTCACTTGTGAACAAGACCCCAAGATACTTAAACTCCTCCACTTGGGGCAGGAATTTGTCCCTGTCCCTGACAGAGTCCAACACCCACCGGAAACAAGTCTGACTTTTTGCCAGCTGTGCAGACCAAGCTCTTGCAACAGGTTGCATAAGCATTTAGCTTATACAAACTGCTTAAAAGTTCTCCCACAGTCCAAAGACATCCAGTTAGTGGGGACAGGTTAATTGATCAATGTAAATTGCCCATAGGTGTAAATGCGGGAGTGAATGTGAGTGGGACTGGTTGTCTGTCTCTGTGCGTTAGCCCTGCGACAGACTGGCAACTTGTCCAGGGTGTACCCTGCCTCTCACCCCATGACAGCTGGGCTAGGCTCCAGCGCCCCCGTGACCCTGGAAAGGATATTCGGAAGCGAATGGATGGACTTTTCATAGTCACTTTGTTAATGCTGTCCATTTAAATGGTCTTACCCGTACACACTGGCTCCTGTTAAGGATCCTCCATCTGAATGATGATCTGAACACCCTTCTGAACAAACTAGCAGGTGTAGAAGGCACTACTGGCCCATATCTATGGGGCTGATTTCTGCTAATAATGCCCATTGAATGGAATGATGACTTCTGAAGCAGGTGTCTGGTGAGTAGCGCGGGAGTTTGGGATTCTTCATTATTCATGACACAGAGGGAAACTTTATTAATACTTTTGCAAAGTACGTGGCTTACCTCTAATAGTTAAACACATTAGGTCAATGACTGGATGAATTAGACTCATTAATGTCACGTGGTATGAATAAGCCAATTACATTGCAAACTCACTGAGATCAAAGAGCCATCGAACTGTGACGTCATCAGAAGAAATGCTTATAAAGAACCCGCGTTCAGTCTGACCCTCAGTGGTTTTGTGTCCGTCAAACTTTAACTAAACTTCTCCTGCGAAGATGTACTGAGAAGAAGCATTTTTACACATTTTCAACTAGTATCCAAGAAGGATTTCCACTCGTCTTATCGCTAAGATAGAAGACAGAATCTAGTTACACTCCAATCCAATCCAACTTTATTTATAAAGTACTTTAAAATAGCCAGCACAGGACCAAAGTGCTGTACAGTAAATAAGTTAAGAACAATAGAATAAAAGTTACAAAAAAAAGTTAAACACATAATACATAAAAATTAAAACAGCCCTATATAAAAAACAACATAAAACATCATAGAATCAACAAAAACAACTAAAATAAAGGCCAACATCTCACTAAAACTAACATCATCAGCTCACTGCAGTCAAGTAAAAAAAACCAACATCTCAAGTGGTGTCAAAGGCCAGGGTGAACAAATGGGTTTTTAGAATTGATTTAAAAACAGGCAGAGAAGAGGCCTGTCTAATCTCTAAAGGCAGATTGTTCCACAGTTTTGAAGCTGCTACAGAAAAAGCACGATCTCCTCTAAGTTTACGCTCAGTCCTGTTTACATTCAGGAACAGGTGATCAGCTGACCTGAGAGCTGGTGATTGTATAAGGCTGTAGCAACACAGAGAGATATAGGCTATGGAGGGCTTTAAAAGCAAATAAAAGAATTTTAAAATGGATCCTAAAAGGAATGGGCAACCAGTGAAGTGAAGCTAAAATAGGGGAAATGTGCTTACACTTTAGAGTGTTAGATAACAGACAAGCTGCAGTATTTTGCACCCTCTGTAGATGAGTAATGTATGAAGCACTGACCCCTATATAAAGTGCACTACAGTAATCCAGCCGAGTGCTAACAAAGGCGTGGATGCAAACTGCATTTCGTTGCCCTGTACCTGTGACATGTGCAATGACAATAAAGTTGAATTCTATTCTATTCTATAACTGTCTCCAAGTGCTGCCATGAAAGAATTGGTTTTATTTTAGTCAACTGCCTCAGCAGAAAGAAGCTAGATTTTACCACTGCCTTAATCTGACCGTCAAGCTTCAGTTCAGAGTCCACTTTGACCCCCAGGTTTGTGACAGTTGGCTTATTATACAGGGCCAAGGAATCTAAATACACATTGGGGGTCTCAGTGGGGCTACCAAAAACCATCACCTCAGTCTTTTTGTCATTGATTTTTAAAAACTTAAGAGACAACCAAGCCTTAATGTTATCAAGACACTGAAGTAATGGCTGTACGGAATATGTGCCTTTTTTCTTTAGAGGGACATAGATCTGACAGTCATCAGCATAAAAGTGAAATGCAATGCTGTGTTTTCTCAATATAAAACCAAGAGGGAGCAGACACAAAGAAAAGAGGAGGGGCCCTAGAACTGAGCCCTGTGGGACACCGCACAAGAGATGAGCGGAGGACGACACATGGTCACAGAGACTGACACAAAAAGTTCACTCTGCCAAGTAGAGCCTGAACCACTCCAGTGCTGTGCCTCTTATGCCCACAGTAAAATGGCACGATCCACTGTATCAAACGCAGCTGTCAAATCTAAAAGCACAAGAACAAGACAGTCACCAGCATCAGTAGCTAAAAATATGTAATTAAAATTTTTTCAAATGGCTGATTCAGTGCTATGTAAGGATGTAAAACCGGACTGGAAAATCTCTAGTTTGCTGCCATGTCCCAAAGAAACAATAACCCCAGACACCCACGAAATAACTGTGCTAATCCCAACGAGATCTCCGAGGGAAAACTGCAAACTGCGAGAGAGTACTTACATGTTGAGGGGTTGCCTCAATGGACTCCTCAACAAAAGAAGGAATTTCCTTCATGTTGATACCTTTGCCGATTCAGAAACGCAACTTGAGGAAAAAAAACAAACATCTGGAGGAGGAAAACCAAATACTGAAGAAAGAGAACATGGAGGTGGAAAACATAAAAAGCCACTATGCACAGCTGGAGGAAAACAAAAAACCTAAAC